GAAGTGAAAAAAAAAGAGATCAACCAAAGGACTTGTATGCAGGCATATAAGCATAACCAATGGACACAAGACACTGGGGGGTAGGGGAGGCCAGGGGAAGGTCAAGGGGAGAAAAAAAAGGAGACATATGTAATACTCTTTGTAATACTTTAAGCAATAAAAAAAAACACAAAGTCAAACACGATAAAAAAAAATGATTATGATGTTGGTTTGCAGATAGCTATTTAGTGAGAGGGTAGCTCCCTTTGAAAGAAAAAGCTGGTAAAATCCAAAAGGGAGGTCATGGTTGAAAGTTCAGTAACGTCTCAAAGGAACAATCTTTATGAGAATGAATGGACTCTGGCTTATTTTTAGTGATCCCAGTGCTGTTGCCGCGGCTTCCAGACTTGACCTTACAGCACATGTGGGGCAGTTGTGGGAGAAATGAAACGAGAGTGCCTGGTAGCAGGCTAACTTTCTATCTCCTTCGTGTCCTCATTTTTAAGGGAAATGGAAGAAAAGCCACTGCCACTGTGAGCAGTCTGGTTCTTTGGCTTCCAGACTTGAACTTACAGCAAATGTGGGGCAGTTGTGGGAGAAATGAAACGATGAAATGAGAGTGCCTGGTAGCAGGCTAACTTTCTATCTCCTTCGTGTCCTCATTTTTAAGGGAAATGGAAGAAAAGCCACTGCCACTGTGAGCAGTCTGGTTCTTAAGCAAATAAAACTCTTCCTGTTCTCGGATGATTGGATCTGAAAAGATGTGGCACTCATTCCGAACCACTTCCCTTTGCCATAGAACCGAACCTACTACATCCTTTCTTGTATCACAAAAGGGAGTGTTTCTTATTATCGCAGTTAATATTTATTGGGTGTTCTCGATTGTTTGGAAATGTGCAGAAATACATGCTTTACGGGATCATCCCACGTTATCTGGACAGCAGTTCTGAAGTGGGTGTTACTAGCCCCATTTTTCCAGATGCCACGTTGAAATTTGAAAAGGTTAATAACTGAGAGGGTAACACACAGCCAGTGAGAGGCACAACCCGGATTAGAATCCAGCTACCCATATGACATCAGAGCTTGTCTAGGCGGCCCAGATGCTAGAACGTGTTCCACCACTAGCTGGTTATTATTCTTGCCCCTCGCACAGCATTATGACAAGGTAACATTATGTGACCTGTAAATGTAGCTAGGCAGTAGCCCAGATTGGTGTGTGTCCCTGAACGACAACCAGAAGTTTATACATATGTGTGGTGACAAAGAGCAGTGCCTCAAATGACATGTAAGTCTCCTGATCTTATCTGAGGGTTGTGCAAAAGAATGTAAGAAATACAGCAGACATCCGGGGTTTCTGCCCTGTGGGTAGTTCAGTCCAATCCTGAGCATTTGTTCACTTACCTCTGAGCTGTTCTGTTTCACACCCATCTGTGCCAAGTGTATTTGTCACCATGGTGTCCATAGTGTTACCAATATATTACTATTCTCAAAGGCCCAATGCAGCACCAATACAGGAACAGTGTCCTCAGAGTGCCACTTCCTCCCTGGTCAGTTCCTCCTAATCCCCTGGAGTCTGGCATATTTCCTTAGAACTTTCTGGAAACATCTCTTAAGCAGCTCATAAACATTCTTCCTCTTGTAAAATCCCAGTGGCCATGCTTGATCTTATTTCCATAGGCCTCTCTTCAGTTCGGGTATGTTAATAGTTCCCTTTTCTTGAACTTTTCCACTTTGAGTATTACCATTTTCTGTCTCTTTTTCCTCCTTCCAGACTGTGTTTCTCAAGGCTTAATATGTATACCTTACCCAGTCTATCCCCTTTTCCTTAGGAGAGCTCATTCATAGATGTAATCAAATTTTAGAGCAGAAAGGAACTTTAGCTATAATTTCATCAGCTTCATTTTGGAGATGACTACATGGATTACCATTTATTCATTCTTTTTAAAAAAATATTTTTGTTAATTTCAGAGAGGAAGGGAGAGGGAGAGAGAGATAGAAACATCGATAATGAGAATCACTGAGCAGCTGCCTCCTGCATGCCCTCTACTGGGGATCGAGCCTGCAACCTGGGCATGTGCCCTAAATGGGAATTGAACTTTGACCTCCTGGTTCATAAGTCCACATTCAACCACTGAGCCACACTGATCAGGCCATTCATTCATTCTTTGAATGAACATCACTAAGGGCTTCTGAGTACATGGATTGGTACCACGAGGGAACATCACAAGAGTCTGCAAGTTGGAAAAGGTGATAGGACATGCACAGAAATAACCAACATATAGGCTGACTGTGAAAAGTGTGTGAAGGCAGGAATAAACTCAGAAATAGAACTATGGTGTTCAAGACAGGGTCTGGTTGAAGGAAGGGGGTGAGCAGGGTAAAGCAGAGAGGGCTTCATGGAAGAAGTGGTGCCTGTGCTGGGCCTTTAGTCAGATTTGACAGAGAAACGGATATCCTAGGGCTGTGGTCGGCAAGCTGCGGCTCTCGAGCCACATGCGGCTCTTTGGCCCCTTGAGTGTGGCTCTTCCACAAAATACCACGTGCGGGCACACATACAGTGCGATTGAAACTTCGTGGCCCATGCGCAGAAGTCGGTTTTCGGCCTGGGTGAGTCTATTTTGAAGAAGTACTGTTGATATTTGGCTCTGTTGACTAATGAGTTTGCTGACCACTGTCCTAGGGGGAGTGGAGGACCTGAACAGGGGGCCTGGGGAAAGGAAAGCACTGTGTGGCTTCATGGGAGCCCAAGCTGACTCATCACTGAGCGTGTGCTTGGCATCTACACAAAGGAGCAGTGGGAGATGGGGCTGGGAAGGCAGCAGGATGGGTCAGTAGGTGGGGGCACTACACTCAGGCTGGGCTTTCTCTAATAGGCAGCAGAGCGAGACAGGACTGAAGTTGTATTTCAAGGGGAGAGTTAGGGGAAGAGGCAGGCGTTTGAGAGACCGTTAGGAGGTTGTTCATCTCTAGAGGAAGAGGGGAGAGGACAGATACAAAGCTTGCCAAGGCAGAATGGCAAGCATCTGACTGGTGCAGTTACACAAACAAGAAGACTGAGAGAAGGAATTCAACAATAGTTCATCTGACCTTTACCTCATTCAAGGGGCTGTTCTCATTGCTGGGACCACAGAGGGAGCAAGTAAACAGGAATTGGGGCCAGCTCTGCAAGAGCGGATATGCTAAGTGGTGTGGACAGACTTATTGTCTGCCCCCTAGCGGGCATCTACACAGGC